GGAAATTATTTATGGAAAATGCTCGGCGAGTATCTATATGAATTTCTCACGGACTTTCCAGTTTATAGAAAATCGAATTTCCAACAATCTAGACAATCGTCATTGCATTCCATAAATAATTTGCATGAATCTGAAAATTACTCGTTGATTTTCCAGATTTTAGAAAATCGTCGTTGAATTCGCAGATTCTTGGAAAATATTTATAGAAAATCGAATTTATGGAAGTTCAAATTTACATACATGTAAAGTTACATATTCATACTCATCCTCACCGTCATCCTCACACTGACCCCTAGAATTCAGAATTTTAGAATTCTGAACAAGTATAGTTCAACTTTACTTATTTCCGTGTAGTTGAAGATAATGTTGTAATAAAATTTTAATAACGACTACATTCACCAGTAACACTAGTTGTTTCGTTATTCTTCAACTTTTAGTTTCTTTAAAATCTATTTTAAAAAATTTGTGGTAAAGTTGTGGCGGATCTGTTATCGTGGTAATGTGGGTTCGCGGAAATGTTGACATATCCTTTCGCTGTCCACAACCCTGCCTCTCATCACACACTGCTGGAAATACCCAAATGTGTACTATGAAAAATTCGCGAAAATGTCGTTCGCGGTAATGTCTCGCGGTATTGTCGCTGTATCTATCAGTTATACCGGCTAATCCCGTTTTCTATGAGGTTTCATTTGGTACATAATTCATTTTTATATCAGTTGAAGCTGTGCCCTCCTAACAAAAGGTTATACACAACCTTGTAGATGGTTAGTAGAAGTATACCATTCTAGGATGTATAGTCAATTAATTCAACAGTATGCTTTTCGTGATAGTTTTGTCCATATTTGTTTCGAAAGAGAGAGAACTCGTTTAATTAATGAGCCACTAAGCTCTTAAAAATACTAGATCAGTGAACGTTTCTCTACTGTCTGGTATAAATGTCGAACATTTTGTAATTTGTTTTTACCACTTCCTGCTAGGTCTTCGGAGGTCATCCGTATCGATGTTGAGTTCTACTGAGTTGAGTTAACCAAATGTCTCTCTCATTCTGTTACATGTACAGTATATAGTGCCAGCAATTCCTAGATAGTTCTATTGCAATGATCTTTTGAAAACGAACAACTGCTGTCATCAGTGTTCCCAAGACTATTGAGTATGGACTACACAGATCTATATAAGATGGAAGTCACGAGCTTCTCCATGGTTTAACCGATCTCCAGCTCTTCTCGTTCTGTCATTCTATTTTGAAACCGATAATACTCACTGAACGGAAACGACGACATGTTTCTCTAGGACTATTTCGATGAAAAATGTTCGCTCTATGAACAAAGGATAGAATGTCGACAGATGTCTATAATACGCACAAAGTGCGTGCTTTCTCCCTATTATCTGTGCCTAAGCAACTGATATCTCTTCATGCATATTTTATTTCGTAGAAGACAAACATTGTTTTCGCATTCTAAAAGAAAGCAGTTTCTGCTGGATAGTTTTATTGTGTATTAGTAGTTCCGACCGTGCTTTCCTCTGACTAAATCACAAAAGTCGCTGCGACGAAGTCCATTGTGTTGATTACTTGTGTTGTATGGTTGTCTTGTTACTCTGTTTTCAAAGGCTGTGCAAAGCGAGTCGCTCATATGAACATCGTCCAATACATAAGTCGTCCATCCGAACCCAACGGGCGTACCGGTTGTTTAGTTTGTTTTAGGGCATTTTGAGAACGTGTTATTGTGCCTCTAAAAACATAACACAAGGCTTGTGTTCGTTAGGCTTTCTACTGTGGTGCTCTGGTAACTAATCTTAGTTTGGAGAGCACACTTGGCTAAATATATCCTCAAGTTTTCCTGACAAATTGGAAAGCATTCGCAGAGTTATCAATTAAATAAGTTTTAATTTTAATTAAAATTTGAGTTACTACTGTCTATTTTGCGAAGCTTGCAGCTCAGTAATAGACTGAGCTCGATCATGATATGATCATAGAAAAGTCATTCTAGCATTGACTGATAGCCAGTGATCTATTATTATAGTTTCATGAAAAAACTTTAGAGAGTAGGCTTTTTAAGGCGCTGATTTATAATTAAACAATGCTAATGAATGCTCATTAAAGTCATTGCGATGCCTTAATTTTTTTGTACAAAGTAATGATATATTATAAATCATGAACTAACACATCATTTGATAGAGATTTTCAAGTGCTACAAAACCTTGTATTTGTCTTTCTAAAAGCAAAAATCAACAAGGCGCTAGTTTAACTCATTTTGTAGACGTGTAGAGCTTCTAAGAGGATTGTGTTAGAGTTATCATCCTTCTTAGAACACGGAAGCACCATATTGAATAACTTCTGAAGAAGGACAGATTTAGACTTGAGAACATGTTTTCATATACAAAGCGATCTTTAAAATTAACTTTTCTCCTCCTCCCACGAAGTCTGATGCCACGCGTGAAAAATGAAAATGAAGAAGTCCAGGGGCTACTAAGTTAACGAGCGCTATCTTCTCACGGAAAAATCAATAGATTTGTATTTCAAATTATTTAGCTAGAACGGCCCATTTTGCAACAAAAATTGAAAAACAAGTTTTCGAGGTATTAGTTTATAATTAATTAGTGCTGAGTAATGCTAATTAGTATTACTCTCGTAGCTTATACTTCTATTTCTAAATTAACGATTTTTGTTGGAAACCATGAAGTAATAGTTCGCTCGACAGAGATTTTCAAGCGCTACAAAACCTTGTATTTGCTTTTTCAAAAATATATCCATAAGAAGTTATTGTAACCCAGGTTTTCGGAGTATCGAATTTCTACGAGAGTTATTATTGTCGGCGCCAAAATATAGGGCAGGCTGTTATTTTTTGAATAACTCAAAGACGGTAAAAGATAGAGATCTGCAATTTTCAATAGTTGAAAGAGGACAATTTAATCTATATTTTCATAGGCATAAACGTTTTTTGAACAAGTTTGAGAAACCGATTTTTCAAAGGGTCTCTGGAACACCAGTTTTTAAGTCAATAATTTTACGCAGCAATCCATCGATTTTTTTCATAGATGGATGGTTCAAAATGTCCTCTACAGATCCAACCAAAAGTTTCACTTTGCTTGGTTTGAGAGTTTCGGACGTTTTTTTAAGCCCTTGGACCTCTCTACTCTTCGCTCTGGGACTTTTAGAATTCATGAAAACATAGGTTATCGACCATGTCGGAGCACTTGACAATGTTAGTTTTCAGAGCAGAATGCAAGAAGTGAGTGAAAACCTGTACTAGGTGGAATAACCCATTTTTGGCTACTTTCATCAAAAATGAACTATTTCATCTAGTACAGGTTTTCACGTCATTCTTTCATTTTGATCATAAATATAAACAAGAAAAAGGGTATTTCATCTCCATTATCGAGGGGGAATAAAGTATCTCAAAGTATCTCCATTTTGAATGGATGATCAACAATTTTTATTAACACTTATTACCCGCGAAGACACACTTGGACACACTTATACACTTTCTCCAATGGAAAAGAAAACGGCGCTTCGTCCTGTTCGTTTCGAGACATGTGTGACTGGTTGCAATAAGATGTGATAGTGGTAATTTTCGAAATAATTTTGAAAGCAGTTGGATGTTTGACAATATCCACTAAAAAAATCACACATATCCTTGTAGTACATTTATCGCATGAATGATTGGAATAGGAGAAACTTACCAGCAATCAAGTTGATCGCATGAGCGAAACATCGAAACTCCAAAATGTGACGATAAGCTGGCTTCGCAATGAATAAATTCCGCAATTTTTCCATCACATCTGGATTATCCGTGACAATCGCGACGATTTTTTCAGTAATATTGAACGTCGTCGACGCCGTATGTAGAACAACTTCGAGACGTTGGAGTAGGAATTCTGCATTGTGCTTGTAAGCACTCAAATCCACAAGAGCAAGCACAACGGCACGACGATTTTCAGTGATAACACTGAATTCATAGAGGGATCTATGACTTTGATCAGTCCATCCATCGAGATTGAGTGTTAAATAGGACGCTTCCGTAAGAATCGAATCATTCTTCTTCTCGACGTAAAGAAGTTCGTTTGTGAGAGTTTGACGAGTAAGTTTCATTTTATCCGGTGGACAATATGATGAATTTAGCTTTTGAATTAAATCTAAGAAGAAAGAATTGGTCACTAATTGGAATGGTACGCCATTCATGATGAGTGCTTTTAATAAAGTTCGGTCGATGTCGAGTTTCTCATTGGGAGGTATGACTCGGGATCCATACTGATCCATTTTCATTTGCTTCTTCGTTGATGATGAGTCATACATCTAAAAAAATCGAAAAACATTCTCTTCAATGAATTGCAGTGTAAGGATATTTCAATAAAGCGTAGTTAATTTGAGATGATTAAACGAAGATATCGTTTACCTGTGCAAAACGTTTTGCACTCTTCGGTGATTGATATTGCTGGTCGATTTCTGTCAGCTTTGTGATGGTGTCGAACCGTGCAGAAGGATTTTGTGTGACCACCACATCACATTGATTGACAATATGATTGTACATCATTGGTATTTTTGCATAACTGAGTAATACCATGCAATATCGACAACGAGCCTTTATATATCCACCTGTTTTTGCTTCACCTTCATCGATAAAATGAGACCAGATATAATTGCGATTACGTCCCACTGTCTTAGGCGAAGAGGTATTGAATGAGTTTGAAGAAATACTGAGTTCCGAATTCGA